CAGAACCTTAAAAACATACCTTTTGATCAAAGTATTACACTAGGAATCCCAAACCCTCTCCAGGAATGTGGACCGAGATTTATATACCAAAATTAGGCAACTAAAGTGAGACAGGGAAATAATATGCACACACCTAAAGGGGTAATGGTGGTCAAATACATCCATGTAAAGATTACACAGACACAAGTAACATTCAAGTCAGGTAAGGATCTGCACGTGCACCAGTATATAGCCTTTTGGACAACGACCAAGTACTACTCAGCAAAATTTTACAGCTGCACCTCTGGGAATCGGTCAACTGAAACACTTAGACAAGTTGTACAAGCAAAATATGGTTAAAGATGGGTATTGCAGGCTTGGTAAAACTGGCATCAACTTAAATGTTACAACTGGGACTAAATTATGATCAACAGGTATGATATGGATACCAAATGTGATGTCACCAAGTGTAAACTTTATATAACACATTTTATAGTTTTTTTTTAAAGATTTTATTTATTCATCAGAGAGAGAGAGAGAGAGAGCACAAGCAAGGAGAGAGTCAGAGGGAGAGGGAGAAGCAGACTCCCCACCCAGCTGGGAGCCCGATGCGGGGCTCGATCCCAGGACCCTGGGATCATGACCTGAGCCGAAGGCAGACGCTTAACCATCTGAGCCACCCAGGCGCCCCTGAATAACACATTTTAAAAAGAACTACAGAGTATTACCTACTAAAGGTCACTTTTTAAAAAGGAACCTGGATTTATTTTCTTTAAAAGCCTGTATAATTTTAAAATTAATATTCCAAGAAATTTTCAGTGTGACAATGTTTAATAATCTCACATGAAAAAACTGGGCTTGAAAAATGCTCAATCTGTGCATACTATCAAAATATGTATATTAACCGCAAAGGGAGAAAAGGAAACCTACACCATCTTTGTTATTGGAATAACAGTAATGTATCACTTTTTAAAGGAGGGGGAAGGAGAGACATTTGGTTCTAATACAAGAGCAGTGAATAATCAATCACAGCCAAGGGGGTGGGTAACAGCCTACAGGACAAACCTTAGACCCCACCTCTTTGTACAGCTCACAAACTTAGAACATTTTTTTTTTTATATATTTTCAGTGGTTGAAAATATTTTGTGACCCGTTAAAATTAAACTTTTATCATAGCACTGCATGTCCAACCATTTAAAATTGTCTATGGATGCTTTCTCACCAACAATGGCAGAGGCGAGTAACGTGGACAGACCCATGGACCACAGAGCCCCAAATATTTAGTGTTTTAGAAGGAAAAAAAAAAAGATTTTAAGACTTTGGCCCTATTCATTCCCTTGGTTACTCAGTCCTAATGCTTCCTCCCAAAACAAAGAAACAGCACCAAGTTCAAATCTAGTGCAACCAACCTACCTTACCTAAACTGCTTTTGACAAGTCTCTAGTCTACTCATGAATTTCAGCCAGAATACTTTGTAAACTTGCTAGATTATAATGAGATTTAATTGGGATTTACTAATCTAGATCATGGAACTATTTCAAAAGAGTCATATGGTGGGTGAGAATGGATCAGAGTATGTAAAAAAGGAAACCTGCTAGGTACTCTCTACAAATGAGGTGAGGTTATCAATCTTTCTAACTTCTAAGACCTGTTTCGTCCCCTAGATACAAATGATTAGCAGAGGAAAAATGTAAAAAGCTCCTTAATGAGCACCACAAAACGTATTTTAAATGATGAGATTTCAGTTGTTACTCTGCTAGGAGACAATAAGCAAGGTCGATTTAAGGCAATTATTCTGCTTCTACAACCAAATCAGAAACTGAAACAATTTTATCTAGTCAGTAGGGGCTTGGCTGTGTAGCACTCTACATCCACATAACTGAAATGCCACACCAACAGGCACAGATGAAATGAGACCAACTGAAGTACGGCAAAGATGTTAACTGGGCAGAGGAAGAACGGGCACTCTTCATGTGAAGTTCTACACCTAAAAGGAAAAACCCGTAGCCCAACTCCTAGTTTTGCTGCCAATAAGAACTCACCCAATTTGTAAAAAAGCTGTACCAAAGTTAACCCTTGGAACAAATCCTCCCAATTTCCAACATCAAGGAGAACTGGAAATTAACACAGGGGCATATAGTTAACGAAACAAGTATCACCAGGCTGGGTGGAAGATTACAGATTTTTATTCTTTGTATTTTTCAAGTTATTACATTCAACATGTTTTGCTTTTGTGATTAAATATCATTTAAAAAATAAACCCCTGATATAATTCCTTAAACCTAAGCAGCATGCTAAATAGCTAAATGAAATGTTACCCCAGCCCAAAAATAATTATTCCAATGAGATATTACATTTTTCTTAAATCGACTGATGAATTAGCTGCCCTATAATCATGGCATTTAATTATCTGTTTTTTGGCCAGCTTTTCCAGGTAAGGCTAACTTTTTAAAACCTTTGCTACTGCAACTAACAAGAAGTGATATGGCTAGAATAGCGCCCCCTCCAAAGATTCCTGAACCATCAAATAGAAAATAAAGACAATTTCTATCATTCCTAGGACACCAACAGTTCCATTTCGCTAATGTGTTTATGGTGTCTTGCAGGATACTAGATTTCCTCCAGTACTCTCCACAGCTCCTGTGGCTTGTTTAAATATCAGTTTGTATTTAAGCTTATTTTTTCAATGCTTTTTAAATTTTGTATTAAAGTATCTTCTTGGTCTAGAGCAGGGTTTAAGTTCTACACACACTGTGGACCTAAGATCTTATGAGGCAGGACCAAGAATAACTAGTGTGGAAACAAAGTATACTACAACAAAACAGAAAACCAAATAAACATAAAGCTCCTGTCAATGCCTCAGGATTTCAGAGAAGCTCCTAATGGGCAGAAGAGTTTCTCAAGAAGACACTTACATATTCAGATTCTTTTCCTCTCCCCCAGGGCTTTGCACATGGTGTTCCTCCAGCTTAGAGGTGTTCATCTGGCTGGAATCCAGAAGAGCGGCCCTTCCCAAGTACTTCCTTCCCTGCTCCAGGACAGAGTTGCAACTGCAGTTTGTCTGTGCCCCCCCCCCCCCCCCGCATTGGAAGGGCCACAGGAAAAGCCACATGCCAATCTCATTCACTTAATCATCCCCAAGCGGTAGTGTTGGGTACATAGAATACTTTTGTCAAATTCACTGTTCCCTTAAGCTTAGGAGTTAAAAAATCAAAGGCTTATAAAGGAAGAGAACTACATAAAGGAGAAAGCGGGCCTGGAAGGGGACTCGAGGCAAGCAGAGTCCCTGAACGAGGAGAGATGCGCTCTTATCTGGAGGCTGCTTCCTCCCGGAAGGTGAAGGGTGCTATGCACAAACGCTGGGCATGGCCGCAGTTGCCAGATCTTCACATCATTAAGTTACCAGAATTTGGGATTTTTTGTCACGTGAATCTCCTGATTTTTAAAAATGCTGGCACTGAATTCAGAATGTTTTAACCAATCACATTTTGTGGGCCAAGGAAAAGGCCCAAAAGCCAGAAGTAGCTGCCAGTTTTGGGAATCTATCCTGGCCTCTCCCAGAGCTCCTTTAATCCTAAACACGTTCAACCAACAAACTGGCTCATTTCATCCCACTGGTTGAGAAAGAGTCTTATCAAAACAATGGGGGCTCTTAACAAAATTACAAAGGAAAAAACAGGATGCCATAAAATCAGGAAACAAAACATTTGAAACAAAAACAGTGAATTATTCCACTTTAGGACTTTTAGAACTCAAATAAGTAGACATAAGAGTCCTATTCTAGACATATTTTGTGGTACAATGAATTTAAATCTGGAATTTTAGGACTTACAAATCACTATGTGATACTAGCTATCATCACAAGTAGTGCCACCTGCACTAAATAAAGCTCATCTCTACGCAACTGTTTGTGTTCATTTTGGCCCCAGAATGCGATTCTGTTTCCTTAATTGCAAACACCCTCTACAGCACAAGAACTGTTATAAATGTCAACTGCTCTTAAGAGCTTTAACTTTACAACGTTAAGGTTACGAACAATTTTATTCTGAATTAAACTAACATTTGTTTCCAATCAATGCATTTATTTGGAAGGATACCAGTTACCACTCATCAAAAACTTTCGTATGTTGAAAATGTAATTTTAATAGATAATTCTTCATCTTACATAGGAGCACAATAAAATACACCACATTCTGAAGAAACTCCAGAAGTTAAGAGAATCAAGAGTGGGGGAAATTCAGACGGGCTACAATATCCATTACCTTAAATTGCGAGAGACAAAGGTTCCCACCTGCGGGTTAACATTTACATACTTAGGACTGGCTACACTGATGACTTACAAAGAACAAGGATAGGGAATTCCATACGGAGAAGGGTGGGAAAGAACAGTTTTTTGAGGGGAGGAACTCTGTCAATGCAGAAAAAAATTACTGAGTATCAAACAATAGGAGCTCCCATAGCAAATACTGAAGGATGAAAGAATCATTAACTGAGGATCTGATACTCTCAAAGGAAGAAACCTTTCAGATGACACTTACGCAAGCTGGCTGCTTGAGATCTGCTCATCAGGTCTTATAAGGAAGACTCATAAGTGCCTCAGCAACCCCAAATGATTATCAGATTGGTGTTTCCTAGTAGCACATACCAGTGGTTACACGTGAAGTTTCCAGACAAGAACTAAGCAAAAGGTCATATCCCAAATGCCACACAAATGCGGCACAACATGTGAGTCCTACATAAAGTCAGTCACAACTGCTGCTTTGCTGTGACTCTCCTGTACAGTAAGTTTCAAACATCATGGCAAGACACCTATGATCATCTAATCAGACAACACAAACACATTTATTCAAATTTCTAGGAGGTAAAAAAAAATACCAAATACCGACGCTTTATGCATGCTCAGGGCCAGCTTATAAATACTCCATTCAGTGACATCTTAACACAAGTTTGCATCAGTGAAAAGACACTGGCAAAATCCACCTCTTGCCGGATCAATTTGTCAGATGGTGAAGACCAAAAGAGAATGTTCCATCAGTTTTAATTTTTAAATACGATTGTCACATTGGGAAAATGAAATAAACACAGTAAAATAAACTGTACAAAGGCAAAGTAGAATAACAAAAAATATTTTACTAAAACATAAGATTTACAGAAGTTTCCAGACAAGCCATACAAAATGGTCACAAGCTTTTTCTTGAAGGAAGGATTCTACACTTGACAGCAAAGTCACAATGTTATTAGTGAGGGCTGTGATGTTTGTTTAATGTTCCCATTTTGGTTCAAACAATCAAGCTTGTCCATCTACAGCGTCTAAATAAAGTTAGACTTGGCTAGAGAGCATATTCTAAAGAACTGGTTAGCTGCTTTTAACCAATGCAATTAGATCACCATAAAAAGGGGGAAAGGAGCCCATAAAATTAAAATAAAACTACCTCTCCCCCTCAAAAAAAGTAATAAAGAAAAACACCCACACCCCTGCAGCTAACCCTGACAACTACCTTCATTCACAGTGCTTTATACTCAAACCATGATGGGGGAAATGAATAAAAGCAGAGAAGGGCCACTGCTTTTAAACGTTTCACAACAATCCAGATGGTACTTCTAGCCTCTGCTCATGCTTTACAACAATGAATCAGGACAAGACATAGATTTGCTAATGTGCATTTAATCACCAAAGGACTGAAGATGTCTGGGCTTTTATTCTGTAATGTTTCTAAGACTGTGTCCATTAAATGCAAACAAAAAAGGAAGAAGTCTTGGCAGAACAGGAGAAGTGATGCACACTTGATGATCAGATCGATTTTATATATTATTCATGGCATATAGCCTAGTCCATGCTCTAGCTGTAGACAAAAACAAACGTGCAATTATTATTTTACTTAGTTCAGTATGTTACTTTCCAAACTCTGTAAAAATAAAGCAGTATTCTGTTAAATTCATGCCATTTTCTGTCATCTGGATCAGACAGACTGTGTGTGTATCTAATTACCAAAACACTACAACGGAATCCAGAAGTTCTACAAAATTCAGCAGGATGAAAAGAGGTGTCTCCTTTTGTCTCCATTTCTAGACATGCTCTCCACTAATTTTGTTAAAATCTGTAACAAGAAGAATCCTACTCATTTCAAACTCCCTAGCTATAAACTGACATAGTTTTATTGATCAGATGAATTACAAAAGCAGCTCAATGGTACACATCAAATATTTGATAAACCAGGTAGTACAGGTTATACAAGTTAAGAGCTCCCAATTATAGGCTGTCTTTACATCTGGGGGTCATGAAGCAGGCCCTAACTTGGAACTTAAACATCTGTTGTTAAGAGGTGTTTACATATTAGAAACAGGATCTGACTTATTCCTCTTAATATATTTTTTCTTTTTGTTAAGACTCGAAAAGAAGTTTTTAAAAAGGTAGTATAGGGCACCTGAGTGGCTCAGATGGCTAAGCGTCTGCCTTCTGCTAGGGTCATGATCCCAGGGTCCTGGGATTGAGACCCACATTGGGCTCCTGGCTCAGCGGGGAGCCTGCTTCTCCCTCTCCCTCTGCCTCTCCCCCTGCTCATGCTCTCTCTCTCTCTGTATCTCAAAGGAATAAATAAAATCTTTAAAAATAAAATAAATAAATAAATAAATATTAAAAAGGTAGTATATATTTGTTTTAAAAAGTGGAAGTGGTGTGAAGGAGAATGGATATTAAATACCTGTTTCTATGGCTTGGGCTTCGTTGGTCTTCCACTGCTCCGCTACATCATTTGCTAATGGATCATCTGGATTGGGAGCACTTAACAAAGCCTGGATCGATAGCAGAACTGTGCGGATCTGCAGTGCTGGGGACCACTTATCTATGAAGGCAACAGGCCCAGAATGATCAGCATGAAACAACAGCCCCAGAACTCCTGCATTGCATTCCCACAGACCTTTGTGGTCTTTATATAATAAGGCAAGATTACAATGTTCAGATTCTCAATACAGAATGCTTAAGAGAAAAAGGAGAAATCTTAATAGCATATATTAATAAAGGTAACACTTACCTTTCAAAATATCTAAACATATTCTTCCCAACTTGTCTACATTAGGATGATAAATTTTGGTCATGAAACGTACTTTAGGGGCTGCCATCGGGTATTCTTCTGGTAGGAATAGTTCAAGCTTAAAAGTCCCTCCCTCAAAGGGTGAATCCTGGGGGCCAGCAATGACCACATGAAAATAACGGGCGTTGCTCTCATCTGGTTCTGCTTTAATGCCAGGCACTGGTTCTGCCAGCAAACGCTGGGTTTCCTACAACAGAAAAACATGATACATTTATGAAACAAATGTCACTTTGCTAAACACCAAGTTAAAAGACTATTTACATAATCCCAATCACCTGAATGCAACTGCAAGTGAATACTGATGACATACACTGCAACTACAAATGTCTGAAAATATGTTGATAATAAAAATTAGGCTAATGAAACTGATTTTATACTAAGGAGAGAAGTGAGGAGAGGGGAGTGGAGGAGAGAGGAGGGGAGAGAGAAGAGAAAAAAGAAAATAACACTGGGATTATCACACAGGTAAATAAAGGCAACTTACTCTGTTTTAAACTCTACCAAAACCTTTAAAAAGTAAAATTAGAGGCGCCTGGCTGACTCAGTCAGCAGAGCATGCAACTCTTGGTCTTAGTGTTGTGAGTTCCAGCTGCACGTTGGGTGTGGAGATTACTTAAAAATAAAATCTTCTAATTAATTAATTTTTTAAAAAGTAAAATTAGTTCTAAAAGTCACTGAAAATCTGAATGTAGGAGGGAGGGCCAAGTGCCTAGGAACCTGAACAGAGCTAGCTAGAACTATATACAACCTTGACACCAAACACTTTAATGCTGCTCTCCAACAATCATTAGGTCTCTTTTCCATCTTTCTCCCTCTCTCCTAAATAACATAACACTCTTCCCTCTCTCTTCAAACCTCCAGTACCTCTATCCTCACCCTCACTTTTGGCTGATGACTCTGCTTTCTATTTCACAAGAAAACAGACATGCTTCCCACTGTAGCATTTGTACACCCACCTTCAACTGTGTACCCGTGTGCTTTGCCTGTCCTCCTGTCACTGTGAAGGAAATGGCCATCACTCTTGGCTAAGACTGACCTCTCCTCTAAAGCACTACATCTCATCTCCTTCTCACCTATCCACGGACATTGCCCTAGCATCTCTTTTGAAACTCTCCTGAATCATCAGTTCCCCCTCTTCACTGGGTCTTTCCCCAAACTGTACAAATTTGCTGTAATTTCTCCCAGTAAGAGGAGAAAATAACCTTGACCTCACTCTCCCCCCACCCCCACCAGCTAATGCCCCACTGCTTTGCTGCTCTTTCAAAGTAATCTATACTTGATTGTCTCCAATTTTCCTCTTCCCTCCTATCTTGAACACAACTCTCCAATCAGGGTCTATCCACTAACCTGTCTGTTGAGGTCACCAGTGATTCCCACACAGTTAAATCAAATGGCCAATGCTTAATCTTCATCTTATTTGACCTAAATGTAACGTCTTACCCAGCTGGTCCACCCTCCTTGCCAAACACCACCCAGCTTCCTATAGCCAACCTCTCCTGATTCTCTTCTACTTGTCTGGCTGCAACCTCCTTGCTGGTTCCCTCCCTGACTCCCCAACACAGAAGTGCGCCAAGGCTCTGTCCTAGGGCTTCTTTATCTACACTCTTCCATAGTGATCCCATACTGTCCAATGAATCTAAATACTAAATACGCCCTGTATATGATGTCTCCCCAAATTCATATCCAGCACAGATCTCTCCCCTAGATCACGCCTCTTTTATCCATAACTACCTGTTCAACAGCTCCTCTTGAGTATCTTAATAAGCATCCCAAACTTTGCATGACTTTCCCCACCTTCAACCTGCTCTTCCCTCAAAGCCTTCTTCACCATCAAGCCATCCTTCCAATTGATCAAATCTTTTCCTTCATACCCCACCATATCTAACCTGATTGGCATATTTTGTTCACTTGAATTTCCAAATCTACTGGACTGCTTCTTACCACCCTGCGGCTACACTTCTAATCCAAGCCACCATCAGCTCTCGGCTGGCATACTGCAATAGCCTAACTTTGTTCTTCTTGCTGCTGACCTTGTTCCCCACTCCCTCCTGGGTCTGTGTTTCATGAATCTTTCAAAGTCCTTATAATGGCCCCCCAAGAAGAGGCTTTATATGATCCCCTCACTCTGGCTATTCTTAACTCATCTTCAGCTATGTTTCCCCCAATACTCCCACCCTGGCACTTTGCTCCAGCCAGATTAGCAGCTTGGTAATTTTCCAACCTGCCAGGCATACTCCTCCCTCAAAAGCTTTGCCCTCGCTTTTTTTCCCCTGAAATTTCTATCTGGTTTGCTCCCTCAGAGCTCCTAAGATCTTCATTCAAATGTGTTTTCTTAGTAAGGCCTCCATAATTGAAACTGAAAAAGCCCATTTCCACCCTATCCCACACCCTTCCTATCCCTGTTCCCCTAATTTTATCTCTACAGCACTACTAATATATTACACATCTCACTTATTTTGCTCAGAATGGAAGTGCCTGTTCCATAAAAGGAGATTTGTGCCTGTTTTATTTACTGCTATATCCTCAGCGTTTGGAACAGTGCCTGGCACCACAGATGTTCAATAAATACTTGCTGAATTATGAATCTATTTGATGTTACAAAGAACAAGGAATAAACTATCAGAATTGCATCTTTAACATTAAAGCAGTGTTATTCAGAGCAGGATGTGCACATCACAGGAGGAAAACAAAAGGATCCATTCAGGCATGGGAAGAAATAATCTAACTTCTATTTATAAACTTACTGTCAGCCAAAAATAGTTAACACTCAATAAAAGAAACTGACAATACCATGTGTAATTTTATATATTAGTAACATATTTTCAACATTTTGAATAGGCATGTGCAGTCGAAGTTTTAGAACACTGCTATACCTAAAGTTTTAGATATGAAGAACAATAAGAATATTGTATTTACACTGCCTTCACTTAAGAAAAATCCTACACCGGGGCACCTGGGTGGCTCAGATGGTTAAGCATCTGCCTTCGGCTCAGGTCATGATACCAGGGTCCTGGGATCGAGCCCCACATCGGGCTCCTGGCTCAGCAGGGAGCCTGCTTCTCCTTCTTTCTCTGCCTCTCTCCCTGCTCATGCTCGCTCGCTCTCTGTATCTCTGTGTCTCAAATGAATAAATAAAATCTTTAAAAAGAAAAAAAAAAGAAAATTCCTACACCTTACACCATTTCATTCTACAGCCTACAGGGCACATACTAAAAGAGATTTCCCTGTCATATACTGATTTAATCATAAGATGCAGATAAAAAATTAAACCCTTTTCCAAACTGTGTTAAACCCATAGCCATTTGAAGTAATGCCTTTAGTACTTTAATTAGAGACTAGTTTTTTTGCTTTGTTTTAATCGTGGCAATGCAAGGGCAAATGAGAAACTGAAATGCTATAAACTACTTTCAGCAAAACGTTCTTTAGGTTCAAAGTAAAACATTTTTAGAGCATTAAAAATCCTCAAGAAGAGGGGCACCTGGGTGGCTCAGTTGATTAAGTGTCTGTCTTCAGCTTGGGTCATGATCCCAGGATTCTGGGATCGAGCCCCCGCATTGGGCTCCCTGTCTGCTTCTCCCTCTCTGCCCCTCCCCGCCCCCAGTGTGTGTGTGCTCTCTTGCTCTCAAGCTCTCTCTTCCTCTCTCAAGTAAATAAAATCTAAAAAAAAAAAAAAATCTCAAGAAGCAATAATGAAGCCCCCCACTGTGGGAAGTCCTCCAACATGGAATTAGAACAAAAGAGGCCAGGCTTCATTTTTAGCATCAATCAATCAATCAATCAAGATATTAAGGATCAACAGTAAGAGTAAAGGAATGAGAAAAAACCTAGATGGTAAAATTCCTTGAATTGTGACCTCTCCTCACCTCCATCCTCCTTTTGTTTTGCCCCAGGTCTTCCTATTTTTAGAAATCCATAAGGAGGGAGATTGGAAGGCTGGGGTCTAAGAGCCCCAAAATCTCACTCCCTGGTTACACAAAGTAGTAGCAGCTCTATTCAAGGCTATAAAAAGCTGCCAGAAGGGCCTCCAAGATCATATCCCGAAATAGCCTCAAAATTACTCTTAGAACACATTGTCAGAGATTCAGCATTCCTTCCTCATCTTCAGTTCCTCCTCAAAATAAGAGTCTTTAAGAATGTACATATTAAACATATCACATGGCCTGATCAATTTTAAGATTTAATCAGGACACATTCTAGCATAAGCTTTTAAGTGTGGAAAACCTTTTGAAACAATTTTTATATGCTCTCAAGTTCTCATGGATTTTGATATAATGAACAGATGCATAATTATTTGACTACATGGCACTGATTTCCCAAACAAACCCATAACATAAATTATGGGAGGAAAAAAGAATAAAATCCAAACCAAATGGAACAAGTCTCACCCACAGAACTTGGGAGTCAATTTTTTTCCCGAAAAAGGCAAAAGTGGGTAGGAAATAAAATCCTTCCTGCTACTACTCACACATGGTTAACTATGAAACACCTAGTTTTATATTATTCTTTGGTAGAAAGACAGTGAAGTACAGTGTGATTTCTTCAAGTCTAGAAGTAACGGGTTCAAATTCCTACTGCACTGCTTACTTAACTATTACTTTTGAGCAAATAATTTACACTGCTCTGAGTCTCAGCAGACTTATCTATATCATAATTAAGACCGCCTCTCATGCAGAGTTGCTATGAAGATCAAGAGATAATACTGCAGAAAGACTTAACAAATGAGATCACATAGGAAGGCCATAGCCATATACAACCAACTCAAAAAGAATTAAGAACAAAGCACAATAACAAATCTTAAAAATTTATTAAATAACAGTATTTGTTTTTAAAGAAAACAGAATAACCATTAGTTTCATTATGATCCTACTTGTTTAAAAGCAATCCTCCGACCCAGTCCCAGGTAGAACTGAGTTTAGGCCATACAGAACAAAAAGCACTGTAGACTATTTAGGGAACTAGTTACTAAAAAGCAGAAAAGGAAGTACATAAAAATAGAGTATGAATTTAAGTGGCAATAAGATTAAGTCTCAAGAAAACTATCTCATCTTACAGAGTGAGGGTAATAGTTCATGTTATAAATACCTTAAAATGGAAGTAAGTAACATCAAATTGATCTGGTCATCAATACATCTACTGGGACTTGAAAAGCAAATTCCAGGATTATATACCACAGTAAACTGCAGCACT